GAGAGAGAGAGAGAGAGAGAGAGAGAGAGAGCAAACGCTACTCGCTTTGAAGGCTCTGCAGCTGCCACCAGCAACACACACACACACACACAGCCGTTGCTGCCTGAGCGGATCCACCGCAAGGAGGGAAGTAGGAGATAAGAGAGAGAGTGAGCAGCGGCAACGGCCCATCATGCCGCGACACCTGTTTTCCGCTGCGGTGCTGCTGCTCCTCGTTGTGCTGATATGCTGCGGCTATGGAACTGTGCACGCTGAGGACGAGAAACCAAAGGAAGCGCAACTGCCGCAGAGTGTTGAACTTTTCGCGCCAAACAAGACGCAAGTGGAAACTCAGGGTAGAGGTCTAACAAGAGAGTTTTTTGCCTCACCTTCGCTCGCCAGTGCTGGTGGAGTCTTGGCGGCTTTTGCCGAAGGCCACATCAACTATACAGACCCCAATAGTCCATTGGTGGGGTGCACTTTTTCTGATGTTGTGGCGGGGTACTTCGACGCTGCGGAGAGCTGGGCGTCTCTTGTTGCTGCGGTCGACGCTGGCAAGTGGAAGGCATACAGCGTCCTTGCCAGAACCAAACAGGTGGGTCATGTGGGCTACGCGTTTTTCCCCACCACAGTTGCAAAGGACAACAAAGTCTTTCTTCTTGTGGGAAGCTACGATTTGATCTACGACTTTCTTAAGTCAAAGAGGATAAAAAGCGACTGGAATTTTGCTTTGCTGGTAGGTGAGCCCACGCAAGGCAAACAGATCCAGTGGGGCCAGCCCCAACAGCTGCTGCCACAGATCGCCCAATCCGCTCAAGCGAAACAAATGGATGAGTTTTCTGGTGCTGGTGGCTCAGGCGTTGCGACGGCGAGTGGCGCGCTTGTGTTTCCTGTGGTGGCAATTAAGGGAGGGTCCTCACTTGTCTCCACGATCATCTACTCGACGGACGACGGCCAAACGTGGGTGCTCCCGAAGGGGATGCTCCCTACGGACTGCACTTCACCCCTCCTCGCCGAGTGGGAGGCGGGGCAGCTGCTCATGATTGCCGATTGTGTGTTTGGCCGCAGGGTGTTCGAGTCGAGGGACATGGGGGCAACGTGGGCGGAGACTGTCAGGACACTCTCGCGCGTGCGGGGTGATTTCAGATCAGACCCTTTGCAACGGCCTCGGCGTGTGACGTCCCTCACCACCGCGACGATTGCTGGAACGAGGGTCATGCTGTACGCCCAGAAAGAGTACCCACTAGGGGAGGCGGAGGCCGAAGCGGAGGCGCTCTTCCTTTGGGCCACCGACAACAACCGGACGTCCCTGGCGTAACCGACCACCTCACCGTGGTGCCAGGGTCCAGTACTCTCGATTATACCGAGGGGAAGCTAAGAGTCGGTCCTTCCTGAGTGCTACTACGTGTTGGAAGG